ATCAAGCCATAATGTAATGGCGTCTACTTCGTTAGCATAAGACATGACCGGGGCAGAAGAAAAAAGTTTTCAAAGAAGCCGTTTGTTTTGGGTGAGACAATATTGTTTCTTCTTACAGATTGGACTATGAATCTTTTTTTAAAAATTATGTGATAAAAGTTTCACCCCCTTCCACTTGTATGTGAAACTGTGTATTCATTAGGTAAAAAAAATCATGGAAGCAGAAATCGACTAGGATAAGAAAAGGCTGCTCTGCAACTGTCTTCCGAGAATGGTAAAAGTTAGCTATTAATCATCTTAGCAAATGTTAAGGCTTGCTTAAAATGTTCATTACTGAGTAGTTTTTAAGGTTGTCATACCTCATTTATAAATTAATTGGGATGTGGAGAGGCAAAAAAATGCTAGTAGGGTTGTCAACTTGAATTTATGAATTTGATAGAGCAAAAATAGTAAACTTTTAGGGTACTAATTTCAAAAATATATATGTACTTGTCTAATTACCGTTTGTTCTAGAACATTTCACTTTGTACTTCATTACAAATTTTCAGCAGAATATTGGTCTTATCAGGTCAGTCTTAGGCTGTGGAATTGTGAGGTTCACAAATCTTTGCACAATTGGAGTCGTTTATGCTCTTTTTTTTTGGAAAAACGTGCATATTCCAAGAATTAAAGTCTGCAAAAAGAATAGTGAAGAATCAAAATGTAAAAGCACCTCGTCTTTCTTTTGATTGTTAATCTCCCATGTGGCATCTCGAAGACATTGCGATAAACTAAACAGCACGGGCCGTAATGAGTGCACAGAGTTTTATTTTATTTTTCCTCAACCTCAAATGAAGAAGTTCGACTATATCAAAAAATAATAGATGATAAGTTGAATTTTGTCAATTTTTCCTAAAGCATTTGAAGACATGTACCTTCTGCATATAGGTCCATTTTAGTTTATTTGAACAAAATCGCAGGTGAGGAACTCAATGAAGAAAACTTTTATCTATTATCAAAGCATTCATACATTAAAGTTTTTTCGGGAAATTTTGACCAG